GATTTTACGTAACAAAATAAAGTGCATTGCCGCGTTTGAGTCTTTCGTTGACTACGCCCCTGCAGTATAGTGCTTTTAACAACCACTGAGTCATATAAATATGGATAAGTTGGTAAAAAATTCATGGACATGGGGCAAATAATGATGAAAAATATAAAAACGTATTCAGTCAATAGTGTAATCGACAAGAAATAAACAGTACATTATAGGTAATAGTCGGAATAGAGAAAGACTAGTTAAATTCAATACCATCTTCAGAAAAAGTAGAATTTCATACTGATTTAAGCTTCCTTCGACATGCAAAAATTGTCAAATGTATACGAAAAGTAGTTTTCATTGTTACTGTTGTGGAGACACAAAAAATTCCTCGAAAAAAGCCTGAAGGGCCGCGAAAACGCTGGAAACATCTTATCCAACCAGCATTCAAAAGAAGTTTCTCAGAAACAGTCAGAGAGTGAAAAATCATGTGTCGCACTACTGATTGAATGATTACCGATCCTGCTATTCTGTTTAGAAGGGTTTCAGAACTTTCCAGAAGACCAAGATCATCTGAAATGTTACAAATGCATTAAACTTTCTGCACATAAATCAACCTTGGAGTAAAGCGTTCTCCCCATATTTCGAGCCTTTCTCTCGTCTTCAAGTTGCTGGGTAGATTTAGCCTAGGGGTTACTAGAAGAGCTCAGGAAACCGAATCAAAAAATCAATTAGATTTATCAGCAACACTAAAGGTTGTTCTAGTGAAAAAACGAATACAGCGAGAAAGAATAAACTAGATAAGTTGATGTGAAGAAATCCGCTGCTTGGAAATCTAAGTAAACATGAAACTGAGGCATCAATTATTCGAATAAGTTGAAAACTGTGACCACTTCAGCTCACATTCATGAAAATGAATTAATGGTAGGTTTCGAGGTTTTCTTCCTTCACCTACTGATATACATAATAACAGAGCATTGTATGTCATGACATTTTAATGTCGGTGTCCAAATAAGTGTATTTAAGTTACCTGGCAAATATATTTTAACTACACTCATGCAGTGACAAAGATAATAATAATTAGCCAGAAACCATAAGATAACTCTTCTTTGATTCAACCATGTTTTGTGACGGCTGAAGATACTTAGAATTCGAAGAGTTACATTCACCGCAATTACGAACTCGAGGTCAACAAAAATCAGAAAACTGTTTTAGGCACTTAGAGTATTCATATAAAAATAACAACTGATTTTACAATCAGCAATGTTTAAGCTACATCTAAGGTGGTTACCATAAGAACAGTCAGCTCCTAGCACAGCAAAGCATGAAAATGATTACTTCAATATAGACAGACAGATAAAAAGTGTATCAACTAATAAGGGAACAGTTGATTACCAAATAACCGACGAAACACATGAAAAATTGTATGGGAAAAATGTGGCTACTTATGAGTAACACTATTGTTAAAGGAAAAGTTCAGCGAATTAAACACGGTTATACATGTGATAAAAAATATTAATATTTGACTAGACGGATAATGTATCATTTAACAATAGATTAATCAATCTGTGTTAATAAAAAGCGAATGTCCGAATTGATCACTATAACATCTTGCTAATATTGAGACCTGGAAAATAACAAAATTACTGAATTCCCTATAGGGTCGTAAACTATTCTAGCTGATCCTCAGATAAACAATAGAATCATCTGTTTTTTCATGACTAAATTATGAATAGTTACATAATTGTTATCCCATTATTCAACAATAGTTACATGCATTATTTCCGCTAAAACTACCGCAGCATTATTATGTATTTCTTACTATTCATTTACGTGACTTCCGACAGAGTTATTCGTCTAATTAATTTTTTTTCAATAACATTATACAACTATATTTTGACTAACATTTTCGCATTTAATAAACAATGCTTAAACTTATAATAAGTATTATCTGCCGAAGTTGTAATACGTTATTACATTTGTGGGGCCAGATGAGATGTGTTATTCTTAGGACCAGCCTTTTCTAACTACACTTCCGTTTCGAGAAAGTAATATTGTTGCTTGAGGAAAACACCTTATTGCAACCACAACACTCTCCAACCGATCGTTCTATGATCGTAGAGCTTAAAAAAGAACGAGTGTTCTAAACAGTACAACTCAACCGGATTATCACATCACATATTTGCTGGGAATGAGTGTAACTACGATTATTTTTCAACAATTTACTAACTAGCAACTAAAAGATAAGTATCAATTCGAATTAAAGAGATCGATTAAATGTTCACATTTCAACGTCGAATGTGGAAAAAGTCTGATTCGAAACCTTTCCTTGAATAATCAAAGAAGTATGTGATTAGAAAACTTTGTTTATTTTACGTGTAATAATGTGATGAATACATGATATTTAATCTTAACAAACGAAAAACAAATTTAACGTAATGAAAAACTGAAACAATCTATTTAGTTACAAGGATGCGATTGCAAGGGAAAGGAAAAAAAACTCGACGAAACAACCAGGAATCAAATAATATGCTGCTATGTTCGTTTTTCTCCAATTTGTCCTTTCACATTTTGTTCATTCAATAAACGATTATCATCGTCAATATCATCATCAGTTTTTGCACAATAAACATCTCCACTTTCAGACAATTCATCAGCTTCACGAAGTTTACGATATGTATAGGAATCTGCTCTAGTTCGAGCCATGGTCCAATGTTTAGCGAATGCATACTGATAATATGGAATATAGTAGGGTAATCGTGGTAAATCACAAAATTTCACCTATTCAGAGAATAACACAAATGTTGTTTTTTTAAAAAAAGACAATGAGACAAAATCAATTCGAATATGTATATATGAAAGTGAAATGAATAGTACACTGTCGAGAGAGTCAGAAGTGACATTTTTAGAAACCAGATAAATTTACACCTAAAAAGTCTGGTGAAAATCTAATATGAAAGTGTCTATTTGATCGAGTTATGATGAAGCATACAAAGTCAGATACGAACAATTGAGACAAGTGGTAGTCACTACTATTAATGTATAGATCTAGAATTTCGCAAACAGCATATACAAGACATTGTATACGATCTAGAATATATAGCTTTTCAATGAAGATCCACATGATAATGAATAAATATGTATTTTGTATCATGGATAATTATCTAAAGATTAAATGCAAATATCAATCTATGGGCTGATACAATTAGGATATGATACTGATACCTATTTATTGTATGCTGTAAAATATAGTTAGTAAACCGGTTTCAGAAGATTAAATCTATTCTCTATTCTCAATTTTTTGTAATATAAAGCGGGATGAGAGAGTGAATAAGTGGAATCACACATGCTTACACTGTAAACGATTGTCTATCCTTAGTATATATTGAAGAAAAACTAGATTACTAATAGATATGTGCTTCATTTGCTTAAGACTAACGAAACATACATCTCATTTTCATGTAAGCTTTGTTTGGTAATGTTTCATTGAGGTTCAATATTATCTAACAACCTTCAATATTACCGAATTGAAGGAGCAATGTATTTTTTGAGACAAAAATTAATGGCGATAATCCCGCTGTGTCTCTTATGAACATCTTGGGGATAAATGTTGAAACACGAAAGGAGAAAAAAACATTTACCGTCATAAAATCAAAAGATGCGGCCACATTTGGCTTAAATTCATCTATTGGTGGTACACGTCCATATCGTTGACTAAAATGATTCAATAGAATGAATGAAGCATTCATATCACGTCCAGCTTGAATAGCCTGACCCGTTGTGCTTTAATATAACGAGTAATCAGAAAAAAAAGAAAAATCAAGCATATTGAGGCGTTTATTACTAAATATTTAGATAGAAAAATCATTGTCATAAGTTAGTTTGCCAACAACCTAACTATTTTTATTGATGAAAAATGTTGGATAGCATGTTCGAATGTCTAAAATATACAATTCTTTACTGGGTTAAAAGCGTAACATTTAATGAATATCGGCTGATGATAACTATCTGTTCATAATGTTTGTACGGTGTCCAATTCCAATAAGCGATAAACACGCTTTCTGTTAGCAAGTTCAACCAGCTATCTGGGAGGGAAGATAGCTTTTTATTAGCCAGCCGAATCAATAAAGAAATATGTATTCATTCATACTATATATATATATATATATATATATATCATTTGAAAAGGCAATCACACTTTGGTGTGGGGCTTATCGTATGGTCGACATCTCACTGGCCTACCGTATCAGTTCACAAATTGACATGTGAATTCATGTTATATCGTTGGATCGACCGTTACAAATTCAAGTTTATTAATCACCAAGTCATCCAACTCTAATGTGCGTAAGTTACAAATACATTATAAGGGCATACAATTATGCTAATAAAATAAAACGTAACAATAAAACGGACATATAATAGATATCAATAAATGCATGCTTGATAACATATTTTTACCCAACTTATCAGAAATGAAAATGCAGATATGGAATATAAATATCTAAAGAATACATTTCATTGAAACATTTAATGTTATATAACTTCTTAATAAATTTATGGTGTTATTTTGTTTACAATATACCAATTAATACATCTTGTGTGTAGAAATAATTGATCTGGAAATGTCTAAATTCATGAACTGCTACCTTAAGAGTTTTACTGTATTTTGCAGGAAAATCAGATAAGATATCTAAAAAAAAGTATCTTCATGGCTATAAAGGTTCTAGGTTAAAAAAAAATACAGGTTTTTATGAAAGTTGAAAAATGACTAGTAGCGGAATCTAAGTGTCGCGCTTCATCCAGTTAGGGACTGAATAGCTGGATGTATCCGCATTTGAGCTGTCCACACTGGGACTCCGCTATGTTCGAGGGACTAGGATATTGCCTACGACCGGCGAAAGGAAGGAAGTCAGCCACACAAAAACAACAGGATAAGCTAAGCTATGCGCTTCAGTCCTCCTAACTAGAAGAACAAGACCAGATTCAGCCAGGAAAATATATAATTCCACAAGCAACCAGGAAGACCAAACAACAAACACACAACTTATGCGTATATACACAGTACAGAAATGTCCTTGGAGAACTTCACAAAGTAAAGTACTAAAAGAGAAGACGAACCAATATCACTTGAGATTCTTCCATGTGGGAAGCACAAACTGAAGTTTAAAATGGGCGGTTTTGGTGCGAAAATTAGAAATCCGAGTTTCAATAATTAAATTACAAAATTGGGAATTTTATCAAGTGGTTTCTGGGGATTTAGCATCTCCAATAGACTTGAACTGAGTACCTTTAACTACAAACACTAATTTGTTATCCTTTGAGCAATCAAGTCTAAAAACACTAACTTTATTATTTATTCAAAACAGAACGGGACAAATCCTATATTTAGGTAGGAATAACAAAATGATTATACAGAATATTACAGAGGAGTGAACATTAAAATACTTACCTGTGCTTTGCTTTGAGTGCTAAATCTACATATTCATCATTTACAGTAGCTTCGTGTATGAGTAAATCACAATTTTTTCCAGCTTTCACAAGTTCAGGACATGGAGGAGTATCACCAGAATACACAATAGACCATTTTCGCTGTGTTTCAGAACAATTTCCGGCAATATTTTTACCGTTTATTAAATTTTTGAATGGATAAGGTTTATCAATAATAAACGCCCATGATGAACGTGTGTGTGGAACCTTGACCGGTCGGATCTAAATGACAAAAAATGGATTTAAACATTTCCATGAATTACATTTCTGTAGTTAAATGTACAACTCATGAATTATTCAGTAAGATCATTTATAAATTTGTCAATATCAAATAGATCAAAAGGAGAACCTATATGTTCGATGATGCTATACAATACAAGTATAAAAACTGGATTAGACTGTAATGTAACCTATTTACTACGAATAGATTCGTGTACTTTGAGTAATACTGTTTTTGTGATAAGTGTTAATGATAAAATCCAGTTTCATAAAATGAAGCACGTGAGGTCAGATTGGAACCTGGGACTTATTAGTTGATAACCGATTAGTTCAACTATTAAGCTATTGCACTGATTGTACTGTATAATTAATAAAACAGTAGAGGAAAAGTGAGCTTCTTAATCATACTGTGGTATATGCGACTTATGTAACACCAATCAAAATTTGAATGGCTGGCAGCAAAGGCTAAGAAGATCGAGTTGAAGAGAATAGAAGGGGAAATAGAAAGAAATTGTGAACTGGAAGAATAATAAAGAATGTGAAAAACAAATGATGGAAATTTGCAAATGAAGTATTTAGTGTATGGTTCTCATACTTTACAAAGATATTCTGTAATTTCGTAATAAAATACATTGGTTGTCCCGGCCCGTGTTTTCGTTCATTACAACAATTCTTGTGAACATATACATATACATACACTAGCAGTGTATGTATATAAATACTTATTCCTTTAGACTAGACCCATTAGAATGCAAATATTAATCGAAAGAAAAGTTTGTGATTGGATCATTTAACCTTTAATCACTTGGTTACAAATTCGAATCGACCTTGTTGAACTCTAACAAAAAAACACCAACAATTACATTAATTGTAGCTTGAAGCAGAACATTATGAGTGATAGTATTAGAGAAAAAATTAACAGCTCACATAAATAATATGATTACAAGAAGTGGATACATAAGTTTATATTAACATAAATGCTTGATACATTCTTAATTTCAATACAGAAGACAAAATTATCAAACACAAAACATATAGCAATAATCATAGTGATAATAATAATTCAACCATAAAAGTAGAGTGAGGTTGTATGCATTCAAGAAACGACAGAAATATGGTGAAGTCTGTCATAGTAAAACTACTATGATAAAAGTATAGTATAGGGATGAGCCAATCAGGATAAAGAACGAGACTTTCAGGTTCTTGCGCAAACTTTAAATATCACATATAACGGAACGGTAGAAATACCTTTTTATACTGATTAAAACGTTTCAGTTGATCGGCTCTGTTTCAGTAGATTACTTATAAAAGGTAGATCGACATCATCCCTAAGTCCTCACCCCCCCCCGAATCCGTTTATTTCGAAAACTATCTACCAGCATAACATTGTGTAAACTAACTAATCGGGCATTTTCTTTTGGGGTTCTGTTGGAAATTTGTTTATCTATAGGGCAAATGTCAGTTTGTGATGAAAGCCCTAATTCTAAACACCTTATTTTTATATAAAAAATCTATCACGCTCATTTAAATGTTTTGAGGAGACGGTCAATCTATAAAAATAAAAACGGATTCACAGCCAGAGTAACCCGTAGAAGACATTAATAGATTTTTCAGTTATTTAAAATCTATTTATATTCCGAAATATTACCGTATTCTTTTCCATAAACAATCCCTTTTGAAAATGCTGTTTTCTGATAGACTGAGTACTAGCTAAAATTTTGTCACGGTTTTTTATGCTTATTCGTACACTCTTGCTAATTACTCTCCCTTTTGTTTTCTTGGAAGTGTTTATACAGTTCTTTGTAATGGTAAGAGTGAAGATAATATTGTAGTCAAATTAAAGCAGTAACATTTGATAAACAACAATTTTGATGCAGACAATAATGATAGCAATTTTTTCAACTATAACTGTATTTAAAAAAATCCAGTCCCAACTTACAATAGGTTAAATGATAAACACAGTGATATTTTTATTTATTTATTTATTTAGACATATTGGTACAAGGAGGCACCGAATACATATGCTCCACACTTCGTCATTTGATTTGTGTGAGGGCTTGGATACTGACTGGGCGCCCAAACCGAATCAGGTAAACACTGTGATACATAATGTTAAAGCAATAGGAATAAGGGATAAAAGAAAACGGTGCGACTCATTGATTACAAGGTACTTAGAAAAACAGAATAGATTTCTGGAAAAAAATAGACAAGAAATTTCATGTGGAGTACATAAAATTTTTTGTTCTATTTGGTATGTCTAAGTCAGGTGCCCCGCGTAGATATACATTTGAATCGCGAATGGAAGACAAAGAGCGGGAGGTTCATATCCAAGGTTAGTTTATGTGCAGGAAACAAGATTTGTGTTATTCGAAAGTGTGATATTCTAGAAGCTTTTAGAAACATTAAAATTGGCAAGCATCCATACACACTAAGACATAGAATTTATTGTTTTCCTGGGAACTTCTAGGAAGATTCTATGGAGCGCTGAATGGATCAAGTATATTTAGCCACTATCCAGCTTCCGAAAATTTTTCCGAGGAATTTTGAAGTAGGTCCTGGCACTAGTATTTGTTAATGACTTTTGATTTGATTTCTTTAAATAAAACATTTCCGATAAATTTTAGTTTAATTAATTTGCAAAGTACAAATTTGTTAAGTATTCGGTTTTGAGCCAGATTGTTTGTAAGAGGGCTAAAGATACTATCTAGTTTCCTAATTTGAAGTAGACGCATTGGAACACAAACCTGCTATGATAATCTGTGACTAAAATGAACTGATAGATTATTCTGGTTTTATGCTGACCAGTCTATCTGTACACTAACAGAGTTTAGGTAGATTAGATGCATAGAAACTGGTATTCATGGTTATTGTGAATTCTGTCTGAGCATTTTACCTTCGTTTTTCATTATCTTATTCTTTTTTGTCCATTATAATTATAGCACTAATAGTCACGGTGAACTATTTTTGAACATATGGCTTATAATATACCTTCGTTATGTGCGATGTTTCAAAGTATCTACATGAACCTGTGATATTCAATCCATTTATTATCATATTTGTGTTCCCTTAAAATTCTTGACAGTTTATTTTAATTTTTTGTGGGTTTATTGAATATTTGTTTAGAAGTTACGATTTCTATATTTTCTGTGCAAAGTTTGCGTTACGATTTGTAGGCTGCCAGGGCCGAATCGATACAGCCACTGAATGTTATATATTTTGTTGAGACATTTCTTTTTTTTTATTCATACCTTAATGCATGTAAACGACTTAGATATCTCACAAATTCAGATTTGTAAAACATAATACTTATGTTGTCAATGACCATGCTATAGACAAAACTTTTGTTGAGATTTTGGATTCTATGTGTGACTTCATTATCTGGCCCTAATCTATAAAGGGATTTTAGCACTCGCTAACAAAGATGAGTAAACTGTATGCATTGTTGACTTGCGTAGAATCATAATATATATAAAAGTATGGATATGTGTATCAAAGCATGTTCAACTGAAGCTTTACAAAAACTGACTATTCTAAGCCCTAAGTAAGTTAGCTTAAACACTAGTTACGTTATTCTGTTATAACTGTTCAAGGTATAAAATAACTTGAATTGTTTGTTGTCAACAGATTAGTTTATAAAAATCGAACAGGACTATCGGAAACTATTGTGATATAGATATCCTTGACGATACTCATGACTGAATTCGACCAGGTATTTATTGGCACACAATAAATATGCATCGATATTGGCTGGAATTATAAATTTCATTGTATTTTTCTGTATTCTACTTAGTAATTGAATCCAAGAAGGTCATTTTATCTTGTTTGATATGTAATTATGCAACAACTTGTGAATTATAATAAAAACTGTATTTACTGATTAGGTTAGTAACTATTCCAATTTATTACCTTAGTTAACAACACGTTGGTGTTTGAAGTAGTAAGTACTGGGTTCAAGTATCTCTGTAAACAGAAACGTAGACATTTAAGTGACGGGCTTCATCATATAGGTCAGAGATGTTCATGTACTACTGGATTCCTCTGATAGCCACTATTTAGAAATATTTAAATTCTATCAAATTCTGCCATTTAATACTTATTTATAATATTTTCCTCACAAGTAGAAATTAATTTAATGAGTGACACTTCATTATCATAATATATGTTGTCTGGCTATGACAACTGTCCACATTTATTAGTCACCTTGTCTTATTTTACAAAGTTCATATAAACTATATTGCTAAAAGGGTTGATTTTAAAGCAGTGTAACAGAATTTAATCAGTTATAATGTAGACATTTTCAGCCTAACTTTAAGTAAGACATTACACCAGGACAATTTGCTATCTAATACTCTTGTCCGAAAGGGGTTTAAGGGACGATTAGAACAATATAACACAACTTTAGATTAAGTAATAGATTTTTAATTCAAGGCAATTCTACAAAATCCAGTAAATTTGTAACTGGGTGTATGACTGATTGCATTGTAGACGTCCATCAAGGTATGTGGTTATTCTCCAAAGTCTAAAAGACCAACAGTGTCAAATCATTTTCTCTTTTGAATGCACAATAACCATACGCACTTTAATACAATACTTTCACAATACTTACAACTTCCCTGAGCAAGTGTATAACATATATTTTCCCAAGCAACTACACTGTATAATCCTCGTCACTTAGCATCGCATAAACACAATGAAATACTTCATACAAACAACAACAGAGTATTAAAAATACAAGTTATCGTCGATAGTGATGCTTAGTATGATTAAATGCACAATTAAGATACGTATTTGTTCCATAAAATAGACCTGTAACAAAACAATAAGTTGGTAAGTGTTGGTTTTCTCCCATTAACATAAGACAGTAACGCAAATAAGGCATAAATTAAACCAAGATGGAACTATTAGGACTTAATGACAAAAAAGGGATAAAATTTACTTACATTAATATCAAGCTGCTCTAATAATTTTAACCAATTTTCCGTCTCGTTTCGTTTCATGTTTAATGCGCATGAAGGATTTGAATTCTTATCATGTTCATCGTAAAGAATTTGTATGATGAATGGGTCAACAATTTGGTCATTATGGAAAAGTTCATTGAAATTAACTAACCAATGATAGAATCCTGATGGAGCAAGGACAGGTAATAAACAATTGGATTGGTCAATACCATCTGATTTAAGTAGACTGGAACGAACTAGAGCTACTGTGAAGACACCCTTGAAAAACAGCATAAAAATAATTTTGTAGAGAAGAAACATTTACTGTGCTAACAGAATAAGGTTCTTTTCCATAACTTACTTGACTATCTGAACTTAGTTATATGACTGAAAATCAAGAAGCACTAGACAGTTATTTCATTTTAGTAAGGGACTCCTTAATAGAGAGCTTATACGGCCCAACTAGCTAGAGGAACCTATAAGATCCAGGCTAGCCCCTAACGTATTAGACTACAGAGTTAGTACTCAGTGGTTTACATTTACGGTGGAAGGTTCTGGCTACCATGAAGATCGACTTTCATAACGTATTGAAATTCGAAGAAACAATAAAAAACGGGATAGATATCTCGACCTAGTTCGGAATACTAAACAGGAATGAATTATTAATTTATTCATGGAAATTTAGCTTCTACTACTACTAACTGTTAAATTGATATTTAATGGTCAGTTGTTCTTCAGTTAGCCTAATTGATGGAGCGTTTCTGAAACTTTATACCAGTGCATGAAGTTACTGACTGTTGGACTGAATCATGTAGGTAAATTTAAACTACCTGGTTGGGGTCCTCACGATTATTATAATTAAATGCTACAAACGTGAAAACTAACACCAAAATTAATATGATCTACACATCGGATGACTGTCCCTTCCATTGAAGCTCCTGTTTATTTAGTAGTATTTCGAATGATTTACTTAACGTAAGTCAGATGGAATTATTTACTATATTATCGGTATGTAGTAAGGGCGATATAGGAATGATGTACAGGTTAAAAATATGTAGTAGTGTAGATTTTTATTCATAATGTAGTAGCTAAGGAAGATCTATCTTGTTTCCATTACTTGTTTTTTTTACTGACTCATATATTCAATACAGAATCGTGTACTTGGCTATGAGTTGTATTTAGTTAGTGAAGTAAGATTCGATTAGGAGTTAAAACATAGATTGGGCACTTACTATAGTTTTTTTAAATGCAAATAAAAGATGTAATGCATCTCAATAGTTTAAAAACTGAACTTCCAACCACAGAATAACGATTTTGCAATACATCTTTAGTTTTTTTATAACGTCAGTAATATTTGAAGCATCATGTAAAACCATGTACTTAATTATAAAGTTGCATGAACTACATATAATGTGGAAGAATTACTAATGTGTTTTAGAGTTGTTAATTATTTATTGGTAATTGGCTCAAATTTGGTTGCGATGATGCAGAAGTATCCTATCTGTATCTTCTCTTAGGTCCTAAGTTTTAAAATTACCTAATACTTTTAATTCTGCGAATTTATTGCTTTTTCTAGAATTATACTATATATTTCTAATGTCTTCTACTACCAATGATAGTTTTACTACTTGTAAGACTTAATCATTCCTCTGAGCTATTCATGTTGAGGCAGCTTAAACCGACGCACATATGTGTCGCATTCTACGTTGATTATGACTGACTGGCTGACTAAATTGGTAGGACTTATCTACTGCAAAACATGTTTCACAATCATATGAACGGATTTTTACTTACAACACGAAACAAGTGTAACCACACTGTATATATATAATGACTTAAGATAAGAGAATAAAAACACAGAATTATACATCTGAAAATGTGAAAACTCACACCATGATGATCAGCGTGCATATGAGTAACAAGAATTAATCGAAGTTTGCGCAAAATATTATTTCCTTTTTCGACACCATGTAGTGCGTATAGTTGACTTAAAGAACCTTCTCCACAATCCAACATTATGTAGTTATCTGGACTGAAATGGCATGCAGAAAATTTTTTGATAGTGCAAAAGGTAAAAAAAACAAAAAATACACTTACGAATAATGTGTAATATGATTTAAAACGTAATTATAGAGATGATGATATCAGTTTTCAGGGACAATGAATAACTTCGCTTACAGCAATTAGTCATAGAGTCAATAGTTTAAGTCAAAAATTCAATTTATAATCTATTATTCATTAAAAACTATTTTACAAATCTATGAAGATATATTCTACGTTATTTCTAGTTGACTGTAGTCGAAAAAAATCCTTGAAAAGAAAATCTTCAATACAAACACCAAGACAGTTTTACTATACAGAGATGAAACGTGGAGAACTACAACGATCATCAAGTATTTATAAACAATTGTCTACAAAAGATACTCACTGTCGACTGGCCCGATGCCATCAGCGACAATCTACTGAAGAAGAAAGCAAACCAGCTCCCAACTGAAGAGGGAATCAGGAAAAGACGATGGAAGTGTATAGGACATACATTACAGATATCAACAAACTGCATCACGGGGCGAGAAATAACTTGGAATCTTGAAGGGGAACGGAAAAAAGGAAGACGAACGAACACACCGAGTCGAGGATTGGAAGCTAATATCAAAAGAATGAACAGAAATTGGAAACAACTGGAAAGAATTGCCCAGGACAGATTTCGATGGAGAAAACTAGTGGGCGGGCTATGCTCCTCCATGAAGAGTAACAGACGTAACTAAGTAGTCGAAAATCAAGATGTTGCATTCTATAAATCTATTAATGATACTTGACGCTCTTAAAACAAAAAAACATGTCGAACTATTTACACCTATCTTATTTACCGGGATAGATACAACGACATAAATAGGTGAAACATTAAGTTGCAGCCTGAAACTCCTAAAAGTGAACAAGAAATATATTTGTAGGACTTCGTCCAGCTAAATGTTCATCTTACAATATACATTAATAAAAAGTCAATTACATTATACAAATGAAAGTCAATTCATAATTGAAACCACAAAAAAGAGGTTAAAACTAACTCTAATTGCATAAGAATACAACTGATATTACGATATTTGTTAGGAGAGGAAGATGCAGTGCCAAGAAATGTGATTTCAGGATACGCCTCTGATGCTAATCTATGAGCTAAATAATATGCAGTAAAAAAATTCCATATAAACACTTGTAAAATGTGTAAATTAATATTGTCAAACATTATCAAAGCAAGTGCCTTTCGGTCATCCAAAATCTGAAGTACAGGCTGATAAAGATATATTCACGACAGGATGAATCCTATGAGAGTATATTAGAAAGAGTACTTAAAAAGGGAAATTTAACCACGGAATATTCAGACTGATTTTAGTTGGAAGCACTAGACATCTGCTTCGCCTCTGTATGGGGCTCCACAGTGGTATGCAGCCATGACTATACCAGGAATCGAATCCAATATATTTCGATGTGTTATTCAGCGGGCGTCTTCCAATACTCGGCTAGATTTCAGGTGGAGTCGTGAGTGCGTACGACCGTCTGATCCTTTCTGGTTTTCGATAACTATCTGATATCAGCATGTGATACAAACTATGAAATTTAGTAATCTCCACAAGCCACCTGTGGTAGTAACAAAGAACATAAGTAGAATAGTTTTTTTGGCTATTTGAACATTAAAATTCAAAGTAATGCTTTTCTTATTGAATGATAAAATTGTTTTTCTGCTCCAATAGTTCTGTAATGCATACCCGGATTTAATTTTATAAATAATCTTATTTCTAATCTAGTACAAACTTTATGAATAAAGTCGGATTCACTTAGAAAGAAAGGCAAAGGTTGTCTATTCCAAATGATATGCAAATTTAATCTCTCCTACTAAAAAACACTTCATTTAATGTTATCAACGGTACTAAATTGATCATCTGAAATTGTTAAAATGTCAGGGTTTTGTTTCTGTACAGCTATCAACTGCAACATGCTGGAATTCGTGCAACAAACAGCTAAATAAACGTGATACAGAATAAATGGAATGTGGCTAGCAGTAAAATCCAGGACGCGCATTTCATTCTATTTGAGACTGGTCAGCTGGATGTACCTTCATCACAGAGTTAATGTCCACTTCAGAACTCGAACCCAGTATCGTTTGGGATCATCTAAACCATTGTAAATTGAGGTAAATAAACTGTTTACGATCTCATTAGTCAGAGATAATTAAAAGAAAATGACTAAAATCTTTACCACTCTCTAAAACTTGTACTCATCTTAACCTTATTATAGTCAACTATACTCTCTTCTCTTGTTAATACACTTGTTTTTTTCTCTTCATGAACCGATCAATTCTAATGCTTGATTTAGAATTGATATCAGTGTAAAATTAAAATAGATGGAACATGAATCACCCGACACTCATTAAACATACAATACATAATCAAAACTTATTATAGTCAGAATGGGTTTTGTGGAGAGTTTTAGAAATTTCACAGATTGAAATCATGAGTCGATTGAAGCTAGACCACCATGGAAAACCTGGAAGCACTGGACGGCCGTGTCGTCCTATTATGGGGCTCCTCAGCAGTGCGCATCCACGATCCCGCATCACGCGGGGCTCGAATCCAGGACCTGCTGGCTTCGCGCGCGAGCACTTAACCACTAGACCACTGAGCCGACATCCAATGGTGTTAATGTCTAACTTTAAATGTTTCAATAAAAAGAAGCATTTGCAGAACATTATACTGATTAGAAAAGTCACCTGGTGGTTTGTTGGATTCAATGGATTCTCTCATTTTAACAAATTGTTCTTCTGCTTCTTGTAAACTCATATAAACCGGATCAAAAATTTGTGACACAAATTCATCACCATTTAAATGTGGATAAGTAGGTCTAAATTATGAAAAAAATGAAAATTTACAAAAGTTGAATATAAATCCTACTATATTATTTTTTTCCGAACAATAAATAACTCGTGCCAGGGTATAATGTTAATTTTGACAGAAATCAGAAAAAAAAATACTATTCAGGTTACATATGGAAATAAAATATTGAGTCCTAAATTACCGCTTTAATCGTACAAGATGTACAATGATAAAGGCAATTAAAATATAGTAAGTTATAATCAATGTAGCAAATGAAATAAATTAACATTGACCCAAATTGCCACAACACATTAGCATAGTGAAAAATTAACGAGATTGATAAATAGAGCCCGAACTAAAGTATTATTGTTGATAGTGAAAAAAACAAACAAACATAGAGAATTAAAAACAAACAAACAGGAATGACTTCACGGGATAAAAGTATGACAAAATATTGAGACTAATGATCAATAAGGAAATAAACAGTGAATCTATACGTGCCACTATAATTGATTTTGAGTAGAGTTATTGTTGTTGTGTTTTGGGGATTTGATTCGACCCATGGCAATTGCGAATTACGAATCATCGATATTATTTCTAATACGAACAGAATCTAAAATGAGCTTAATTTCACAATAAATGATACACAACACTAATGATAAACCCTAACGATGGAACTGAGAAAGTAGGCAGCAGGGAACAAGAAAACTTGACATTTGACGAAGACAAATCGAAATGGAACAACTCTCTATACACAGTAACCGGAAATGACGTTGATACAGAAAAATTTGAAAGCTAAAAGTAATGCCAATCAACAAGAAAATAGCAACAGAAATATGAGTTTCAAAGATTGTACTCGTATTTATCATTACAAAAAAGAACTAACACTTATCGACATAACCAGATAATCGGGAGTATTTTGGGAGTCACCTAAGGTCTTCTTTCAACCACTGAAAACGATTATGGGAGTGACTTCAGATAATGTGTCCCTTGCATCTATTGGCATGACTCAGTTTAGTAGTCACTGATTCCGTGGACTGGTGTCATATTTCAATCTGCATGTCTAGTATTTTTCCAAACTACTCTTACTTAATGCAACATTCCATATCGAGGTAATTCCTAGTTGGATATATGTAACATGTATCACAGCCGCTTCAATTAATCAAGATTCACAACCTTATTAACCGATTTGTCATACTTACCTAGTAGCTCTACGTCTGATCTCAGTATTAATCCCTCGGCTGTCCCATCATACGTGAGTAATGCTCCGAGGACATCTGTAATCAAATACTTGCAGCTTGCGTTTATCTCCTACATTCAAAGGCCTCGTTTCACGGATTTACTTTTTTTAAATCTATGCAAAGATATCTTTACAGACTAACCATGTAGGAGTGAGACTTCTAAAATGATAATCATCAGCGTGCTCAACTAATTCATTCCATATAGTCAGACAAGGTGTTGCTGCAGAGCAGTCCTAAAGTTAAATTTTGCACTTATAGTAAGAGAAATTTATACCAAAATTTCTCGAACTTTCTGTTGGGGATGCTAGATCCTCAGAAATCACTTGGTAGACGTCTCATTTAGTAATTTTATTTCGGAAATCTGAATCTCTCGTTTTCGCGCCAACAGCACCCACTTTTACACTCAGTTTGTATTTCCCACTAGGAGGAACCTTAAATGTCATTAGTTCGTTTCTTCTTTTAGCACGCTATTTGGTGACGTTTTCCAAGGACATTTTTGTATTATATATAAACTCATGAGTTATGGGCTTGTTCGTTCATTCTTTCGACTGCTTGTAGAATATACATATCCCTTGGTTGAATCCGGTCTTTTCTCTCTAGTAAGTAGGGTTGGGGAGCAGGAAAATAGCTTAGATTATCCTGTTGTTGTGTTGCTGACTTTCGTTCCTTTCACCGGTTTAGGTGATATCGTAATCTCTTCAAACGTAGCACTTTCACTCAAGTTATTCATAAAACTCAACACTTAACCAGAATCTGTATAAATAGAGATATTTGAGTAATTATTAGTAAAAATTCGAATCGGGTTACGATATTAAAAATTCCGTAAAACCTGAAAGACTGCAGTAAATCTTACTTGTTAAACCCTGTCCATGGTCTCAAGGAAAACTGCAAATAAGGTTCAGCAGTTACAACGGAAGAGAAAGGATCAATATTCTTTGATATTGTTTCGTTCCGTTTCTGATTGGACGATAAAATAAAGAGAAATTTTACAGTGTGTGGTGGGAAGAAATATAAACAAATGAATCAAGATAACCTAATAACGATGGAAGTAATCAAATGTTATAACATTTTTAACGTTGTAACAGTTAACAGTAATATAAATATACGCTTTGCTGAGTGCATTCCTTTTAATCTGTTGTAATCAATATGGAGTTTGGAGTAGATGTGCATAGCACATTAGCACTACGAAATGACATTAACATGATGAATAGTAAAGGAATCGAAACAAAGACTGAAAATTGAGAATATGATTCAAAATGACAATGAGAAGCTAATAAAGAATACTGAAACTTAAGATTCAGAGAAAAATCAAAAGTAGAAATATCTGTGCCGTTAAGGCTGATATTGAATTATGTCACTTAACGTCGGCCACGAAAATCATCTTAATCAGATAGAGTGGATCCAAAAACATGATTCAGTCCAACGGTCAGTGACTTCATAGATTGAAATCACGTTTTCCAACCTACTCTTACTTAATGCAACATTCCATATCGAGGTAATTCCTAGTTGGATATATGTAACATGTATCACAGCCGCTTCAATTAATCAAGATTCACAACCTTATTAACCGATTTGTCATACTTACCTAGTAGCTCTACGTCTGATCTCAGTATTAATCCCTCGGCTGTCCCATCATACGTGAGTAATGCTCCGAGGACATCTGTAATCAAATACTTGCAGCCTACGCTTATCGTCTATATACAAACGCCTTGCTCCAAAGACACTGAATAATACAACGTGGACTGGGGCTCAAAATACTGGTCCTTTTTAGTCGGAAATTATTTACCATTAAAGTACAACTGAAGATAGAAATATCATAAAGGCAAGAAAATCTATGATTGAAGAAGTTCACTTGTAACTCTTAGCATGAATAGAATCCATGTCAAGCAAAGAATGTACAGTGAGCAATAGTGTTTACAAAAAATTCGGATTGATAGACACACACAAAATCGTCAGAATAAAGCCTGAAGTCTCGAGATTTTCTAGTGACTGCATTACTATACCTTGCATAATCCTCAGGCATACAAGGTCCATGGACTACAATATATTTAGTTACTCCACGTAACCTACAATCAGGTTTGAGTTACTCTAAGTCAGGAGAAAAATTGATCCGGTAAATATATGAACACAAGCGAATGTAGTAAAGCGAAAAGTGAATGATCAAGTGAACAAAGTTATGTAGTTTTGCATACACAAAAATAAGAAACATAAATTTACGAATAAATTGTATGGCTTACTTACAGAAACAGTATCAGAATCTGCCATATCGAAAAGCAGTGGGTAGACCTTTGAGTCGAAAAACCGATTTAGGATGAATGTTTGAGAATACATACCAACACGATCAGTTACAAAACCAGTGCCATCAAGAACCAAATGTTTCAGTGTTGTAGTTGGATCCTTTTTATCAGATTTTTGCAATGCACACTCTTCCAACCTAAATGTATTAAAAAGAATGGAAATCCTTTAGATTAATGGCCACTTTTTTTCGGAACAAACAAAAGCGTTTAGGCACTACTCATAGTTAGATTAAATAAATATACGCCCAAACTAAATACCATAGCAGTAACACACGGACAGTAAAAGAGAGCTAGTTAAGTTTCGGTTAGATCTTTTGCAGGATTTATGAACCACCATACCTTTTCTCCTAATTATCATGTCCCGACAACTAAGTAATGATGAGAAGAATCAGCAACAGCCTTAAGCTAACGTATGAAAAGGAGAAAGTAGACGGTAATAACCAGGATAAAAAGTAGGAGTCCTTAAAGCATATAGAATTATATCGACGTATGATATTAATCGCCTACATCGTTTAACTAAGTTGAGAAGTAGTCAGCCACACAGTGAGTGGTAAAACAACAACTACAAAATGTTATCAACAATCTTTAGGCAAATGACATCCACTGAAACACTGTTAACTATTAAATGGTAGTTTGAATTCCAGCTTTGACTGCAACAAATACCATTTTGCGCTTGCTTTTTCTAGTTATGAGAGATAATTTAGTTAGGATTTTTTTATTTAAGCACAGAATAATTTAACTAAATTCTGAAACAGCTGGTGGAATTTCCAACCGTTACGCAACGCCTGTGGTTCACAACGTTTGATTCGTTATAACAGATGTGATTAAGAGTTACAAGTTATAGGTTTACATTGTAATTGTGCAAATTTTCACTTACGTTTCCCATGAAAGGTTTACTTTACAATGCGACTACAATTTTCATAGAATTTGTTATCATAACTAGTGAGGGAGAGTTTTAACTTACTTCTGTACAAATTTCTGATACTGGTTTGAATAGAACATGCCTGGTGGTGTAAAATGAACAACTAAGGATACACCAGAGGTTAGATTTCCACTAGGCTCCTCGGCTTGAATAGAATTGAAAAAGTGTTCATTGGATATAAATGCAGGAATGTAATCAGAATTCGGACAGTCGACGAAAAGCATATTTTTTGATGGTGGTGATGGCACAGTTACTTCATCCGGAGATATCTAGATATGAAATAAGAAAGACTAAAATGTATAGTATTAGAAATAAATAGTAAGAATTCGATTGATGAATACATTTATCTTGACTTTTTTATAATAGCCATTTATTTAGTCACTTAAAACAATAAAAGATTTCTACTATGAAAAAACCCAAATGTCTGTGTGAATAGACAATTTTTATCATCGCAAGCACTGACTACTACTCATAGACATTTGAAATAATTAGTATATGACTTTAACAACTAATACTTGGTTTGCCCCCAAATTCCCTGGTACGGTCGAGGGTGGAAGAGTCAGCTTTCCCTCTCGAAATGTTCTCACATGAACACACGTATATAGCCACTACTAGGGAAATCCTACTCACTGCCTTTCCGTGACAGGAGGTTTGTTTACACAATGGAGAGGACGAAAAGCGGATGCCCGACGCTTAAACTTGGTTGGTGGGTTCTCATGATCCACGGAGAGGATTAGGAACGCCTTGATTCCAAACTAATGGTCACATGGGCTACAGGATCCTGAGGGAACAAATGGAGTATGGATCAATTGTTGGTCACCGGCTAACATGTGACTGCATCGCCCTGTGGGTTAGACCTATAGGTTAAAGGATCGGGGAGCGTCCCCCTAAGAAAATCACATGCTTCAGTTTGGGCGTCCTCATGCAAATTGAATGACGAAGTGTGGCGAATATATATTTGGTGTCTTTTTGTACCGATCTTTGTGTTTAAACGAATAGATAAATAATACTTCCAATATGTATCTCAATTCGCTAGATATTATAAATGATGGGAACAATTATCGAACAGTTCAACTACTTCAGTTGATGTTGATTTACAGCTCTAAATACTTTAAATTTGATAACAAAATCTGATGACTGCACATCAATACTTGGTTACTTGATATCTTTACAGTCTGTTAGAATATCAATGCTATTTGTGGATGTAATGTATTTCAACAAAATCTGTAATGAAAGATTAAAAAGTGGGGGGTTAATTACTGGATATTACAAGTGGTGTAAAATGATATTTAATTAGAAGTCGGCAACCCATTGATTTTTACAGCAACTTTTGATTTATATATTTTTGTAACGAACCCACTAGAGTTCTATGTATTTGGCTTTGAGCCACGTTATTTATGAGGAGTGATAATACAAACCAATGACCAAAACCAAAGTACATGGAGTAGTGTTCGATTATGGGAATTACTGGTGAAGTGATATGACTATTAATCTACCGCTCTATTACCATCTATATGTCTGGTTAACAGATAAATACTTATCAGGTAATTTGCTAAACCAACAAGCTACGAGTCTGATTCATGCTTAGAGTAAGTTTAATTATAAATCACAAGAGTGAAAAAATTTACTCACTATACGTCCATCACTTAAAATTAAATTTTCTCCATTTATAACAGCTTGTATTTCCCCGGATTTTAGAACAGATCTGTAAAATGAAAGGTTGGAAACAAGTCAAAATTAAAAATATGAACAAACCGAATATCTCTCGCAAAAAAATGAGTAGCGAAAGGTAAAGTAGTTGCAAGAAAACTTAAGTATACGTAAGCCAATCAGACGCGTACACATCAAAGAAATATAAACTAATAAAACATTGCACATAAAGCAACAAAAGTGAGCAATTTGATGGTAAACACAGATCCTTATCCTTGCAGTGTTCAATTTTAGGTTTTCATAATGATAATGAATCAGTTAGTTCCGAATGTCTACTTTGTTGCTATTATTTTCCAAACTATAAAATTTAGATGACTTGTCATTTATGTATTAGAGATTACTTTAAATATAAAAATTTTGATTTAGATAAATACTCAAGATATCTGCTATTCTTCTTAATATTATTAGGATTTCGGTTTACTTTAAAAATGAATAACGTTTATCAAGTAATGATCAACTAATAAAGCGGTACCACATTCGTACCGCAACAAAAAGGATTATGTGACCAGCTTGTAAATGCTAATTGTATTTTAAGAAATTTTATTGTGGGTAAGGATGATAGAAAAAATGTCAGTTGTGATAAGTAATATCATAGAAATTAAATTAATTTGACCTAAAAACCAAGAATTATTTTCTATATTTGCCAATTCTCATTTAATGCTACTGTGCAGCACGATATATAAAAAAGATTAAAGTAAGCGGTTCACTGAAAAAGATGTGAGGTTATTGAAAAGTATGATGATTTCGACAGATTTACTTATGAAATCCTAGCGCAAAAATGGCGACCACTGATCGATACTACCTGGATTAAGTAAAAAAACGATCTGCTTTTTGAGATGGCACTACAAAACAAAGGATAAATTTGTTTGGTTCGTATCTACTGGGACATCACAACTCTTTAGATCAGGTTCCATAAATTAGATAATTCAACTTTTCGAAGCAATATCTTGAATTTAAAAACAGCTGCGATTTCTTCGCATTTTATATAGATAGTAAAATTCACTTTTAAAATAACTTTAGAAAAAAGATTTACGTTATCACCAACCCATGGGAAAAGTATGACGGTTACTGATGAAAGTCATCACTTATCATGACACTTATTTTTCACAAGGATTTACAGTAAAATTACTTTGAGATGCATAAATATTTATCTCCATCTCCTCAGAATAAACTATCTCAAACTCGGAGATTAAGGTGACAGGTTTAAAAAAGCTTCAAATGTAAATTTTAAAATTTCAGATTGGCAGTTATTTCCCAATGTATTTATTATAATTTGGCATCTTACAAACCGTATGAACTGAAGGGTTGTTTATGATTAACAATGTAAATTTTATATCAATTACGAATTAGTGTGCTTATTTTTAAGTCACACTTTGTGTGAAGCCCAGTGATGCAAACCGGCTGTTCGAACCTCAGTAGTTAGAGTGGGATCACAAACTGCGTGACCTAATAATGATGTACGTCATTTGTCTACTAAAGATCGGTGTACTCATGTTTGGACACAAGCGCGAAGGATAGTGATACTACATACCTGTTCAGATAAAAGTAGGTGGAGCGAAACTCGAACCTGCAACTTAATGGTTGAGAGTAGAGCACTAAAACTATTAGGGTACCGACGTACGGGTTATTATTAATGTGTAGTAAACAATAAGTTTGTACCAACTCATTCGATATTTGAAAAATCTGTCTCATAGAAAAATTGGGATTAGGAAGACGTGGTAGAATTAGATTTAAAAGGCTACTACTGACTTACGCTGGTATACATGCTTCATTGAACTTTGACATGACCAACTTACGACGTGTACGAAATGGCTAATGAACAGAGATAAAACAGAAAAAGAATTAAAATATAATTACTGTAATTGAATATGAGTGGGAATTTGTTATGTAATATGACGTTGAAATAGTTGAGAGTGATAATAGTAGAATTCCACTTAATTTGATCTTTCAAAGATTAGATTAATGTGAAGGTAGTTCTTTTTTACTACGGAAGGATATCAACCAAATTTCCGCTTATAAATGATACTTGAATTAAGATTTTGCAGATGTGAGTCAAAAAATGCAGAGAAGGTTTGATAGACAGATTTAACTGTAGTTTTGATATTTCATCATCTGGATTATTACAGGATTTTTAGCAGACAAAGTATTATATTCGGTTGTATTAACATGCAACAACATCCAGTCTTTGATAAGTTAAACGGAGAAAAGTTTTCATTTGGCCCATTTCTAGCCAATCAGCGCTGGCGGACAAGTGAAGATTCTAGAACCTCGTGTATAGTTATAGATATACTGTTCTTCTTACAGTGACTCCCGTCCAACTTGATTTATGTGGAATATAATTACATATCTGTCCAAGCCGTTTTCATGTTTTGGGCACTAGTTGAGTGAAGTGGTATTTGAGGAGTACTAAGCAATAAGGGTACATAAGTCTTACGTTGTAACTGAATGAGTTGGATAACAAAAGACTGAACATGTCTTTCCAATCTCAGAGTATTTAAAAGCTGTAAACTTTACCGAGCCAAAATATCAAGCACGTTTTTAAGCTGTTTATGTAACAAGAGCGAATTAAAACACTAGATCTTTATGGGTTTTAACATAACCTTTACTAAAACGATGGTGAACTATAAATCATGGATGAAACAAAAGTGTGGATATCTATCTATTAAATTGACTAACCTGGAAGTAGTATATAAAAACACTAGATTCTGATACATTACCCAGATTTTCTTTTCGTCGTTTGTAGACTACAAAATAAAATATCAAAAACATTAGTCACAATGTACGCAACAGCATAGTACTCGAATCTGCCTTACGATTTTAGATACAGAAATGCTTTTGACAAGAAGAATAACGATGATTGAGATAAACAAGGAAAACATACTAAGAAACGTACGATGCCCAAAGATTAGGCTTGGTAGTTATATTTTAAGTTATCAGAGAATGAGTGACCTACCAGCTAGTTTCTTCCAATAGCCTATGGCATTTTACCATGTTTATTTTGTGTTCATATTTTGTAGATAAGTGTTGTTTTATTATATAAAACTATGCGTCTGACTAGTGGTCTTGTCTTTGAGTTCTAACCATTCGAGGGCCTAAGCCAACTATACGGTGCCATGAGAAGCCATCACTCGGTCACACTATATCATTACGTTCATCTATCGATTGGCATTCTGTTCATCAATTCTAATGGTGGAAATTTCATCCAACCAAACCACAGAAAACCCCCTCCATAATAAAAAAAATCCCACAAATACCGTCTTCTATCACAAATCATGTTTTTGAATATTTTAACTTTAACCCTTGGAGACAACCCGTCGGGCCAAATCCATGGATAGTAGAGGTAATAACAGTATCAGTAGTAATTGGAAAGATTAGGCATCAGAGATGCGATTCGAGAAAATTTGAATTAGTGAAGTAAAGACAGAAAAAGTTATGAGAAACTTAGAATTTCAGAAATTATGGGAAGAAAGAGGACGAATGCACCTGTGTCATTGCAAACGATAATGTCCTCGAAAACATTGTTATTGTATGACATGGTAGGACCTAAAGGAATATATTTTTCAGGCAATAGGTTGAGTTGGGGATATTGTTTACCAAGTTTTAATGTAACAACTAAACGTTAGGAAAATATTCAATAAGTAAAAACTTGCCTGGTTCTTCATTTACGTTTGTTGGCTTGAATATTTGGAAAGATTGTACGCGAAATGCATCATCAGTGTAATACTTCTCATGAATCTCACTCATGACTGAAACGAAGAGAAAACACCAAATTGAGTCGATTTAAAAAAGTAAGCAAAGAACTAGCTAAGATGCAGCTAGATGATTAATGGAAGAGTGAGCTTATGATCATAAAAGAGGGCTATTTGATTAAAGAGCATGAAAAAACTTACCGATATCGGTTGTTTTACAATCAGTAAACGGACGAGTCAATTGCATCAGATGTTCCTAAGGGCATAAAAAAGTTTAAATGCAAATAATGTGCATGAAGTAAAGGGATCCTAATTGACCTGGAAACTTGTAAGTTATCATCTAAAATGACCTCATAACGATTTAGATTTTTAAATTTGTAAGGACTGCTTAAGCATCATTATAAAAAGAAATTACTAATCATTAAATATGCAATAAAGATCAAAACTTGGTAGACAAGAAATCAAACACAAATAATATATTTTTGACACAGAACTATAACAGACGTACGAATTAAGATATATTTCAAGACCTAGGATTTTAGGATCAAATGGTAGGTGTTTGCATAACTATTATTCATAATACTGAAGGTGATCTATCGAACACAAAGGTCTAGAGCTGATTGTTGTGTTTGGCTTGAGTAAGCAGCTAAACTATCCCTCTTTACGAAGTAAATAGAAAACTTAGTATTGAATCACGATAGAAACAATGAGAGAGAAGGAATCCCTTTCAATTACTAAGAACAGACTTCTGTGCCAGGCTTTGGGTTATAACTGTTTCAGACAATGCCCAGACATTTGAAGACGGAAGTGAGTTGGTCTTTGCACTAATGGTCCGATAGATGAGTGTAAAATATTTAAAATACTTAGTCTCTATTGCATAATACGAACGTCTAGGAATATTAACAAAGCAATATAATAGAACATAACATATATATGACCACCTTACTAGTAATTATAACCGATGGATTGCATTAACAGTCAGATAGCTTCTTCAAGTTTACAAGGACAACCTCCAAAATACTTTTGAGATTGCCTTTGATTTGAGCAAAACGTTTTATCCAGAATAATAATAATGACGAGAATAATCTTCCTTTACACAATTACAATAATCTAGTCCCTTTTACTTAATAGAAACAAGAATGAGTTTTTAACGTTTCCCCATATTCTGTGATCGATTATTTTTCATGTTACTGTATAACGGTAAAAGGATTAAATGGCTTTGCTTCTAAAACAACTTTTAGACATAGGATAGAACCATTTGCAGGCAGGATTAATATTAGCTTCTTTAGCAGACATATCTAAGCGTCTATGAAAAGTGAAGATTCATTTAGGTTAGTTAGCCTAACGACTTTTCTAATAAGAGGTGATTTTCCAAATTTAACCATCTAATTAGTTTCTAAATAGATATCTTTAAAAACACAATTTAAAGTGGATACACCATTTGTATACAAAATTAAGGTGAGGACAAGAACAGGAAAATTTTAGAAAGCATTATAAGGAATAGTTGCAAATGAATGTAACTGCTTCGGTGAATATGGATATTAGACAATGTCGAACGTTAGTAGCAAAAACAGTTAACCCCTTCGTGAAATAATAGAGCAAGAACATTTACCATCACTAACAATTAGTTATGTTCCCTAGTTATGAAATAGAGCTTTGCTGATTATCATATATGAATCAACTAACAGTGAAGAGAATTAGCTTAAAATATTTAACATTGTACAGAATGATATCTGAGCGACGAAAACGACCGCTGTTTGTAAAAGATATCCTAATATTACTTTTATTCGCACTTAAATTTTCAATACCTGCTACCTGATAGATATTTCGTAATAACATTGAAAGTGCATATTTTGCTAATACAATATATTTTGTATGGTGGATAACTCACTAGTTCTGTGGGTCCATGTATAGTTAACTTCTTAACTCCCGCGGCCTTTGCAGTCAATGCCACACCTCAAAATATGTACAACTAGCATTTGGACTAACCTAGTAATCCAGAAGTGCAATCCCAAGACATACGCGTAAGAAAGACATGTTGTATGCGCGAAGTTTTCATTCTAATATTAAGTAAACTAAGAGCATCATTACCGATATTCCGCCAAGACTCTTTGCGTTGACTCACCACAGTTGACCAAATAACGACATACCCCTGTGTCAATGAGCATCGATTTCGAGGAACCAGCACGTCCATTGCCAACAACGGTTAATGATATGGAGTGTGGTGGTGGAATCATCTTATCTCCAGGGCGTTTATGTTTTAGGAACCGTTTAGGTGTTGTCACTAAACGTACGTAGCACAAGGAGGAACGCAGCATTCACTGTCACTGCAAGCCTCAATAAAGTTACCTGTAGCCTTGAAAACGTGTTAGGAAAAAAGATGCTTGTAGCTAGAACAAAAATATCAGACGAAAATCAATAGATTTACAAACACGTTTTGGATTTAGTGGTTTAAGTGCAGCGTCGCCACCTAGTTAGAATGGTACGTCCACAGACATACCTGGTAAACCACGTTAGAAAAGTAGCGCACCTTTTGATAATACCCCCGAATTACCTCAATGCCATCATCATAATGTCCAATATTCACAAGCTTGTATTAACTGGTTGATTTATTTTCGCTTAGTAGTTATTTATGGATTTATATATCTTTCAGTTTGTGTTTGCTTCAGGGACGCAAAACTTTTGGATACCGGCAGCTTTCGCGTCCATTTTAGAAACAATGGACAGAGAATTTAAATGCTAGGAGGATACGATTGCTTCGATAAATAAATAACTAGGTTAATGCATATAGTATGAGGAGACTGAAAAGTAGGAATAAGAGGGAAAACGCGGATGGCAATAAAATGGACAGGAATAACTGAGTGTTATGTGATGATGATAGCAGTAGTTAAATTATAAGAACTTCATTAGATAAAGCTGGTCCATGCTAGAGATGTTAATCCGCTCATTCAATGTCTTCTTGAAGCTGTACACTGAGAGTGATGTGGTTAGTTTGGCTTAGAAAGCATTATAAGTAGAACAGCTCCTCATGAGAAAAGGTGTGGGAGTACCCTGGTTTTGTTCTTTGATGTGTGATCTTCCAGGTGTCTCTTTGAGGAACATGATGAGGCTGTATTTTTTTAAACAGTGTCGTATACAATTGTAGGGTGATTGAGCCCAGTTGTATTCGCACAAAAGTCAAGAGTTACACTTACTTTGTTTAGATCCCCGATATAGTTTGAGCTGGTATCCAAGGTCTCTATGATGACTAGCCCTATATCTCACTCTGATGAGACAATAGAGAGCTGGCTTCCATGGAGGTCATATGTTGTTTTATCAAATGGGGTAGAATGTTCATGACATGATATTTCGACATGTTTTGTTTTAACCCATTGTCTATTACTCATTTCTCTCATGTTGTGGGATTTTCGACTAGCTGTTTATATGTAATACTCATGTTCTGGAAGAGTGAATACTATATTCAAAGTCGGAAAGGTCTCAAAGTCTTGATTGCTCTAGGCCTTATATTTTGACCAAATGGCTTTGAAACCATGGTCACCTGTTGCATAGAAGTGTGTGAATGCTTACACTTCACGACCAATGATGACTAGGAGGTCAATGTATAGCTGTCAAACAATATCCACCGCAAATGCATATGTACCGTGACCAATATGCATCATAGTCCAAATGAAAGTATTTATCAGCTACTAACGAATTGTAAACCTATCATCTCTATAAGTCATTTTAAAGCTCTCAACCATCCATTTCACCTCGCACCACTTATCATATCTTGGTATCATCAGCATATAAAAAGATCATGGTGGTAAGGGACTAGCAAAGCCATTTACATGCATTAGAAATTTGGTTTCCGATGGCTATATTAATGAATGATGGTGTACCTGATTGATCATATTTGCATTGACTGAATGAATCAACCCCTTCAGGGTAGGTGGTTCGTTTCCTATTCTTAAGGATGTTTCATTATTTTGTGCAGATTTTTTCTTATGGTTAAATGCTGAATTCAGGGATCAATCGATCGTTATATTGGTGTTTTTTTTAGAATAAAACACCTTTCAAAGCCTTGATCACAACAAAAGTCTTTATAAGTGTCTACCAGGAAATATGAACCCGAGACATCGGAGGACAGTCAATTTTTCGCCATCATGGCAAGTGAAGGGTTGTTTGGAAGTACCAGTGTGTGTACATGGGTTAAGTCATTTAGTACAAAGCCAGCATTGGTCAATAGTAGTGTCACTTACGGTGATAATGTAGTGGCATAGGGCCCTGACCATACAATCCTAAACGCTGAACACGAGGCGACTGGGAAAACAGATATTCAACATTTGAGGCGGATAAAAAACTAACGATGAGGAAGGCGAATGGAAAAATTGAAAGAATCTAAATGAATCGAATGTCATGGCTCGGCCTCGAAGACGTGATCATTTTTGTGTAGCCTATACCTTTTATTCATATTGAACATATTGTTCTATCTCTAGCCTAAGTGTGTTCTCCACCATACACTGGTGAATATTACGCTACGATGAGTCGGTGTATAAAATGATGTGACTTCCACGTAAGATCTTATATATTAGGCAGTTACATTACGACAAATCTACAAGTTCGGGATTAGGTCTATTATTAGAGCAGTACTATTAACGAAATAATCCGTAATCCTACAAGTATTCATTTAGTAGAGTGGCAGGGTGTAGATCTAAAGGGATTTCCGTTTTGTTATAGGGAGAGAGGGAGGAAGTAGGAGTATATACTTCATATTCTTGTTCGTTTGGTTTGTTATCGACAGGGCTAGTGAAAGGGAAGTAGTAAGATGGTGGTATGGTGAAAGAATAAACATTTTTAGAGGTAAAAGGCGAAGTAGAGTGGGTTGTATGGGTAAGTGATTTATTTGAAAAATAGTTAGAATGGTCCGACAAGAAGCTATCAGGACTGGTGAATTTGTTGGTGAAGTGATGTTTATCGCTCCGTATTTAGTCAGAGTATATAGAGGATAGTCCTAAAACAGTGGGAAAATCACGCTCAACAGTTTTAGGCGACAAAGAAAGAATGTTGAGGGGAAGAAAACTAAAGACGTATGGGGTGGTGTTTGTGTCGATGTGGTGAGAACCAGAGATTGTATTAGATAGTTTACCTCATTAGGCACGTACCCAGATAGATCAGCATTGTAATGATTTTGTGTGCTAAGGAGCAGCCTATCCTCGGCGTGGGAAATCAAAGGCGTTGTATGTTTTGGGTTAAAAATGAGGAATCTCCTGAAACTATAGTAAGGAGGCGTTCATGTAGTAAATAGTAGTTTCCTGATGCTTAAAACTATTAAAGTACACCCTAAACCATTTCCCAGTGCCGTGAGAAGGCAAGGTCGTGGACAGACTTAGCGGCGTACCCGAGTAATTAAGTATTGCTAATCCTTTGTGTGTCTTCGAGTCTACCAATGCTGTGAACAAATTCATGTTTTGGGCTAAGGGCAATGAATTGTTTGCAGGTTTTTTCAGAGAAGTCTGTATGATCTCTGTATTTCAGTGACCGAACGGCTATAGCTTGTAGCACCATTTTTAGGAAGATACCTGTCAAGCATAGTCGTTGGGGATTTATCGGTGCCTTTGAAATAATCCTAAACGACTGTAGATGTGTAGCTGAATTGAGACTAGGAAGTAGTTGAGCGTTAGGCCCCGGGATTATGTTTGCAGCTTTTTTATGTACAGTTTCAATTTTCGAACAAGTATTAGCACACTGTGGCTTAGATTTTGTGAGGACTGAAGAATGCTATTTGAGGGTTTTTGTGTGGTCATAATTGTGACTGTTGTCAGTGAATGGATTAGATTGGTTGATGCATATTTCTTTGATGATTCACCTTTGGATGGATGTCCTGTCATAGATTATTCTATTTTTTTCGTAATCGAAATGCGCCGAAGTGAAAGATGACTATTAATGAAGTGATTCTCCTCTTTGGCACTAATAAACAAAAAGCAGATGAGACGGGATACTCTATTTTTGAATTTTCTTGATTTTTATGTTACACCACAAGTGTGTGACTACCTACACTCCTGTAGTAGAGTGCTTTCATATATCATACACATATCACACGCAATGACATTCTGCATATAATTACGTCTTCTTAACACTCTCGAGCATATATGGCCACTCAATTCATCGGTTCTTATAATTTCGAGATCAGAATTTTAAGGAACAACGTTTAGGAGTTTGTATGATGCCAAAGTGCTAGTTCAGGTCTAGCGTAGTCCTAGAAAGATCAGAGCACGATAAAGAACGATTAGCATGTTAATACAGCTTAATATTTTCCTCCTTGAGGAAGGATTTCATCCTTTTTCAGACGCTCAATTCATCAAGTCAGAAAATATATATTTTAGATGGCCCTGATGTAAGATCCAAACTACGGTTTGGACTGCTGAATAGCCCTCCCGGTACGTTAGACACGCGCTCTTTCCCGTCGAAATCAAAACAAGTGATCGGGTAAATAGCGGTTCTATAATTCATCATAAATTTAAATGTAAATCGTTACCTAAACAAATATTACCACTCGGCTATTCAACCAATAATTGTTCAATCAATCAAATCTAAATTACAATAAATAAAGTAGTTGATGAAGGATGAGGGAAAATTACCAGTCACAACAAATGAACGCTATTCTATCCTGACTGGATAGAACACACTAAAGGAGGAGCAAATCAATATGGCTACTGCCAAGAACAAGTGTCAAGTAAAACAACACAGATGCTGTTCGGGAAGAAACACAAACTTAGTGAATGCGTAAGAAAAACAAAAACTATAATAAAAAATACAAGTATCAACAATTCAAATGTAATCAAAAGACAACAATGTACAACTAAGGGGATCAATAGGAACAAAGTGCAAGTGTATACATGAAGGGATTTTCACAAACACACAAAACATTCAAAATGGATCTTACACCTGACATAATTTAAAATAATGTGAGTATGGTACATATCAGCAGACCAGAGACCCTTAGAACTTAGCATATTTGATGATAAAATTCTTGGAATAGACGTAATTGCAATATTCATTCACTACACGTACTTCGTTGAACGAAAGAAAGTAAACTATGTGGAACGTAATTCATTAAAGGTAACAGAGGAAGACCACGTAAAAATTAATAACCTTTAGAGTCCGCGTCATATAACGCGAGTGGACAATTTTCTGGTGGTGATCGAACACATACCTCATAGAGAACCGTTGTAGATTCATTCAGATGAAAGCTGCGAATAGCTGTACAAGGTGTAGAGAACTGATAGAAAGCTTGTCTGGTGGGTGGGAGAACTTTAGAATGTCACATTCTTAAATCTTGTGCACCACAGTCATACATACCGGAACCGCAGACAGGATTGATCTAACATAAATCCTCAGTACTGCTTATATACTGCGATATCAGGGAGATAGTGGACTCAGCTAATACAGAAATCGCATCCAAATCTTGAGTCTCTGGTTTCGACAAGCGACGACCATGCGATACGTTTATCGTACTTGAGTCGCTTCTCCGTAGTTGACTGAGTTATGAGTAGTTTCAGACCCCATTA